TGCTTACTTCCTTGCGTACGGATGACAGCTGCGTATGACTTAGTTTATTTTCTGGTGCTTTCACTTCCAGAGACAGTTGAAAGCACTGTGAAGCTGCCTCGAGGGTGCTTGATCATTGTAACACAACGTGGTGCGATCATCCCCCTTGCGCGGAGTGAGGCTTCTCCACCCCGCACAACATGATCCACTCGACCACCATTATGGTTACCGCCAAAACAAAACAGAGGTGAAACAAAAAGCGGGAACCTGGCTGCCGAGTTCACGAAGTGAATTGGGTTGTTTTGCGACGTCGTCCCCAAGCGAAGAAAACCCAATCCCGATGGCAAACACCGAGAGGGGGGCTTGTTTTACAACGTCGTTGCCAAGCGACGAAAACACAACCCCGATGGCAAACACCGGGGGGGGGGCTACCGCCTGTGCTGGCAAAGAGGCCCCGGAGGGTTGTGGAGCGTGTTTGACCCCACACGAGCACACGAAGGCAGGGTCTCCGCCGCGACCCTGGGGTTCACAACGAGCCAAATAATGCATTCGACAAGTACACATATGAAAAAAAAGTCTCGCGTGATCGTCGTGTTCGGTCGGTTGGTCGTGGAACATGTGACGGAGATAAAAACACAACCTCGCACCCAAACCCGCGCACGATACTGTTTTCCTTTCCGTGACATAGTCTAACGCTGTGATGTTGTGTTCGGCGCTGATGATGGTCTGGTGGTTTCGGGGGAGTCAAGTCACTCACCTCGCTATAGTAGCCGTCTGCGTCTCCGATGTCGACGCCGGCGATGACGCTAGAGAAACACTCGCCGTGGCCCTCCTCGTCCTGCTGTGATTGGACAAGATGAGATGGGATGGGATGAGATGGAGTGGGATGGGATGGGATGGGATGTACCACGAAAGAAACGCAACAAGCAAGCAAGGTTGAAAGCACAAAGCAAGCAAGCAAGCACTGTGGTTCAACAACACGAGGGAGAGAGAGAGAGAGAGAGAGAGAGAGAGAGAGAGAGAGAGAGAGAGAGAGAGAGAGAGAGAGAGAGAGAGANAGAGAGAGAGAGAGAGAGAGAGAGAGAGAGAGAGGATGCCGCTAGCTAGCCAGCAATGTGCCACAAAGTACTCTGGTTCAACGCGAGAGAGATATTGGATGCCGCCAGCCAGCTGAGACAGATACAACACTGGCAACAGTACAGAACCTCGCAATTCTCGTTGATTTTATTACTTCCTTAGTAATCTCGTTAGTTAAAAAAACACGCCCACACACGCAGACCTCGAAACTTTGTCCGTGCAACTGGAGGCTGTCTTCGGGCGGCTTGGACTTGAGCAGCCTGCGGAATCGGGTAACCACAATCTCCAGGAAGTGGGAAACCTGCACGTTCATCTCCTGTGGGATGATCTCCAGCACCTTTGCTCCGCAAGAATGTCAGAGAGAGAGAGAGAGAGAGAGAGAGAGAGAGAGAGAGAGAGAGAGAGAGAGAGAGANAGAGAGAGAGAGAGAGAGAGAGAGAGAGAGAGAGAGAGAGAGAGAGAGAGGGAAAGAGACAGAGACAGAGTGACAGAGAGAGACAGAGACATAGAGTGACAGAGAGAGAGTAGAGAGAGAGAGAAAGGTAGGCCACACGGCCCGGCGAGAACGTCAGGGAGAGAGAGAGAGAGAGAGAAAGATAGGCCACACGGCCCACAGGCAGCCGCAAAAGTGGGCACTACACACACAGGCAGAGAGGGAGGCCGAAACAGATCGCAGGCGTAGGCTCGCCTCCGTGAATCAGAATCAGCGCTGCTAAAACGGCCAGCGTGAGTCTTGGTCGGCACGGCGAAAATACCGAAACAAAACATGAAGTACAGCGCTAGCGCTTCTTCATTGAAGGCCCAAACAACCACGTCCCCGAGCCAAAAAACCTCGGACCTCACCACCACCCTTCTAGCCATGCTAGATAGACGACGTACACGTTGCTGCTCGATCCACCCCCTGCCCCACCTTGTCTCCCGCGTAGACGCTGATGGGCAGGCGCTTGGACAGCTGCAGGAGAGAGACATGTAGCTGCTTGGCCTGCCATGCCCCGTGCCCGAGATCGCAGTCCCGGTAGTGCCACGCCATGCTCACCTCCCGGCTCTGATTCATTCACAAGGTATTTTTTTAAGGTCGTTGGACATTTGTCGAAAGAAGGGGGGGGG